CCAATTCCATATAATGCCCACCCGTTGATTATTCACATTGTCGTGCGTTCTCGAGCCCAGACACGAAACTGTTCTAGCTACTCACTACGTAGCTGTGGGATGCTGCGTTGAAACTCGCGAGAGTAGGCAAACGGTTTCTAATGAGAATAGTAGGAGTCCTCGTCGTTGGCAGTTGCAATATCAGCATTTCCTAAAGCATATGCGAGAAACTGCACTCTTGATCCGAGTGATCAGGAGTCATAAAGATGCTTAAATATAAAACCAAGAAAGATATGCATTCTGTAAACTGCGACGCATATATGCATGGTGAAAGTTAATTGGCTCCTTTAGAGCATGAAATAAAGGTTTAACTGGAGCCCGATCCAAAATACTTAAAAGCCCAGATCTTCCTAAATAGTATGGTTATCAGGATCTAAAACATGAACTTCATTGACATGTCTAGCAAGTGTTAAGGGAAATGCTTACGCTCCGTCCTTTCAAGCTGGGAGTCAATGGCATCAAAGAACTCTTCTTCATTTAGTGGTGAACTCAATACATCCGAAAGCTGCGTGCAGCTAGTCAGGCTTCCTTTATTTTGCTCCAGAGGATGGTCTTGCTGGTGAAAATTCTGCTCATGTCTCACTTGTCTCGAAGATTCATCTCCCTCATCGTCATCTAAAGTATTACGAGCCGTGGACTCAGGACGATCGAGGTTCTCTGAGGCATAAAAGCCAGCAGTAGATGGGATCAGCTGTGCTCGTGAAAATGATGGGGATGATGGAGTAGAAGTGAGTACATTATTACAGATAATACGACTCGACGTGAAGGATGAAAGTGAACATGAAGAAGTCACAGCAGAGGTAGTGGCCGCTATGGCACAGCCCGCACTCAAACTAGAACCGCTGCGTCGATGACGGACACATCGTTTGCCCTGGACTGGAGGGCTAGGTTGAACGAACCTTGAGCACTGGCTACGAAAGTTATGATTTAATCGTGAAGCCGGCACAGGAAAAATAATTTTCTTTTGGTTCCGTCGCTGCTCGCATGGTGGGAGTTGTTGGTGGCTAGGATCTGGGGCCAACGGATGACAACGCGACCACACGTCTGAGCGATGTAATTCCTGTTCCAGACGGAGTCGACGTAGGTGCAACATCGCTTCATAGGACCGCATCATTCGAAGAGATTGAGAGAGGGTTGAAACTACACCGACTGACATTGCCTAGCGGCAAAGAAATTAAATTAAGCAAGCATATAAAATAGGCTAATTCTAGATTCGAGGAGGCCTAAACTTTACTATAAGCGAACCTCGAATTAGAATTTAATGGTAGATTACTTCAAATGAATTCAGTGGCATAGGAGTATGTATTTGTGTTAACATCTGCGTTCAACGTCTCCAGATTATATTACCATGTGAGATAAATTTTGAGTATTTTCTGAGTCACGTTACGACTTGGTACTGCCATCAAAATATATAAACAATTTAAAATCGATTTGAACTTCTCCACACCTGTAATCAAATGAGTAAGCAGTTTCAACACAATGATAAAGACGGACGATTTTTTTATGGTCTAATAAAGGAAGATCAACATTTTAAAACAAATTCGAAAAGCCAATGTTGTAAGTCAAACCTTAAAGTGCTACTACCAGGTGAGACAGCAAGCACAACTAGTATTTGAGTTACAAAGGCTAAGAAAGAGATTATTATAAAAATCGTGAAGAGTCAAAGGATTGCAAAATATATTTGCATAGTCAGTCCAGGATGAAATTTGGACTAAGATGGTGTGGTTTTTTGTGTGGCCGCAGTTTCCTTTCGTTGTATAGAAGTTATTTGACCTTGTTTTGGCAACTTGGTCATAGGAAGACTTAGAGGAACGCACCTAGTCTGGAGTCCATTGTATGCATGATATTTTCCAAAGTCAGACCGTGGGAATTTCTAGGAATGTATCATGTCCACGATCCAAATCTGGAAATTATCATGCATACAATGTAGTTCAGATTAGGTGCGTTCCTCTAAGTCTTCTTACCAATCTTATCTTTGATTTGCAATGTGATTAGCGACCAATCACATTCTCGTCTGTAATATCTAAGCCTAGAATTTTATCATTCATAGTCTACTCCTCCCGCCGTCCGACCTTCATATCCAGTAAAATATTTCCAAAGCTAAATTCATTGATGGAGGAATTTTTTCCTCGCTGCTACACGCGCCATATTCCATCGCCAACTCTACATACTTTTATAACAGCGTATCGTCTCATCCAATCACCCATAGAAAGTCCCGAAGCCCAGGAGGCCCCAATTACATAATCGTGACCTAGATTAAGCCAGTATGCCGAACCAGCTTTTCATTGGGATAAAATGTGCTATTCATAGGTGACTTCTTGGCTCTTCACAACCATATATTTATCATGGCTAAGTCTATTGGATCCCTAAGTAAGGAGGACTAAGCCCAAATAGCGTCGAAGAAACGAAAAATCCCCCAATGACCATGTAGTCAAATCCGCGTCCACAGGACTGCATTTGCTCTGCAGTCAGGGATTTTTCCCAAGCTGATAGCGAATCAGCGCCGCGTTTCCACGTCAGGCAATTACATAGGTTAGAGTCTTTGCATCTCTTTAGCATAACAGACAATGAAACAGACCGTTTCGGTACAAGTCTGGGAATAGGGTCACGTCAAATTCTCAGAACAAACGGTTTTACAGGAATTGCTAATGTCATGTGATAATCCCATTAATGATTCATAGCAAAAAAGCTTGTAAAGAACAGTTCAAAGAAAAAATGGGAAAATGGCCACTCCCGAATAATATCTAAGAAATAGAAATATTTTTAAAAGTATCAAACTAAGAAAACAAGCATAGTGTATAAAGGAAGAATATGTGTATAGTTCACGCACCTTAAAAATGTGACTCTCTCGTTTGAATTCAGACGCAAGTTGCCCACATTTGTTGAAATTCTCAGGATTACGAATTCTGGGAGAGGAGCAAGTCTCGGGCTGAAAAGAAGAATGGTAAAATTAGTGAAAGAAAAGACATCAAATAGAGAAAACATTCGAAACGATCTAAAAAAATCGACTCAGTTAAAGAAATAGAAATAAAAGGCCATATAGATATACTGAATATATATATATATATAAAGATATATAGATATATATATATAAATAAAGATACCGCAAATAAGTGGCAGACGAACAAGGAACTCCGTCAAATTAATGATAAAGAATTAACGTCAAATTATCAAATTATAATAATTAAAGATAAATGTAAGATCTGGTAAGAGGATCGATATACCATAGAAAGTTCAGCAGACGGAAATAAGTAGTGATGGGAGAATAAAAGAGTTCATTAAAGGAAAAACCTGCGTACTTAGAAAAGAGGAAATCAAAATGATAAGCCTACTGGTTACCACAACTATACGAAGAGTTATCAACTCTATAACGATAAAATTTGCTATCTGAGGAAATAAATAAATATCAGACGTTGAAAAATAGCAAAACATTCAAATATAACATAGTCTATAAAATAAATTTCAGTATAGTTACTTATGATGGATCTGGGAGCAGTGATAACTGAAGAAAACCGACTATATCAAGAGATTAAGAATCACTAACATAATATTTTAAAGTGGCTAGTTTAATAAAAATAGCATAAAGTTTAAACGAATTAAATTTGACTCTCGAGAAATCCCTAGATTTGTATTGTTAAAGCTACTTACATTTAAAGTGATCGAGTTTGGTGAAGAGATTTGAAGGTCGATCCCACCAGAAGACGATAGATCAGCTGTCGATGGTCTTTACTGGAACATTCTTATTGGCGCTATTTCCGACGGGAATCTCCTTCGATTCCAGTGTAAACGTGTAAACTGATAAGCTGATAAGTTTTCTTGAATAAGGTTGTAAGATTGCTCTAAAGGTGTCCGTCATACGACGGAAGAGAGCTTAGCATATTTTAACCTGAATCTAAGGATATAGCATAAGAAACAGTGTCACAAAGAATGTTCCAAGCCAATCGACAGCTGATCAAGAGAAATCTGCCACCGTGTACTAATGGGATTGACCTTCGAATCTCTAAACCAAACACTTTTACTCATAATGAAAGTAGGCTCAACAATAAAGTATGGTATGGCCCCAGTCTCCTTTCGATGTATAAGTGAGTTAACCACTTTTTCGCAACATGTTCATGTTGTCAGGGCGACTTAGTTGGAGGTATTTTGTATGAAGTCCTCTGCTTTAGTAGTTGACAGCATTTTGAGCGTATAGAGTGTACTTGATACATTCTCAGACATTTCGCCGGCATCGTCAGTGGATCAAGCCAGTATCAGCACCAAGCTACAACCTGTCAAAAATGCAAGCTAACTAAATCCGACACGATGCCGGCGAAAGGTCAAGGAATGTTGCAAGTCTACAATGCAAACTTACGTCAAGGGATTTGCTTCAATTATCACTTGTACTAGTTGTAGCTTAATGCTGAGAATGGTAAGACTCACTGACGATGGCGGCGAAAAGTTTGAGTCCACTATCTGATACTGGGATATCAACTATAACAGAGGAATTCAGAAAAGGTGAGTCCAACTAAATCGCCATGACAACAAGACCAAGTTACGAAAAAGAGATGAACTTATTTAAATAAATTGTAAGCGTTAATAGTTTTAGGAGTGAAATTCAAGGATCTAGAAGAAAGTAAAAGCAAAAATTTACCGGAAGTATAAA